TATATATATATACGGAAAAAAATTTTTTAACATTAGTCGATACAACAATCTCATTGAAAATAATCTTGTTAATTTAATGACAATATTAATGAAATGAATACGTTATGCTCTTGTTTTAACATAGTTATTTGTTTCATTAATATGATCATAAATAAACAAGATTATTTTCATTTAGACTGTTTGTTGACCACTCGAGTTAATACATCATTTTTAAAAAACTAATGTAATTCTTGAAAACAATAGATATTTAAAAAAAAAATTAATATGCAACGTGCCATAATAATTAATCATTTTTTAAGTGTTAGAAAATAACAATTTTCTAATTGTTATAGGACGTTGGGACATATTTAACTATCTTACCTAGTATAACAGAGACCGCGTTATGAAAGCTGTGGCGACCGAATTTGTCGTGCGGCTAGTAATCCATTAATTCACGAAATTGTATACGCGCATGTGAAGATATATAGCGTTACACGAATATCAATCAACATTTATACACGGTAACACGAAATTCGCGAATTAATTTCTGTCAAAGAATCATGTACCGCACCATATGTGATTTATCATCAAAATCTTTAGCTGAAACAAAATATTTCTTGCTCTTTTATAATGTAACATTTTTTTGTGTATCTTTACGGAAGTATAATAGAATGTATATTTAATGTGATAAATTGTGGGAACAATTGACTCATAAAAAATAAGGAAGAGAGACAAATGGAAATTTATACATTTAAAATTTTAACACTCTTTTAATTTGTAAATAATCATGAAATGCTAATATTGATTACATTTAGCACATAATGATAAATATTTATCATTAAATGAAAATGGAGATGTAAACTTTTTATATATTTCACGACAAACAATTATATAATGAGTTAAACTGTAACTGTTTTAAAACATCTTACTAAAGAAATTTAAGTAGTGAAGGAAGACGTTTGAACAGCCATGAATTTTAAAACATACAAATTAGTTAATCCTCAAATCTCTTTGTGCTTTATTTAAAGTAATAGAACGATATTTAAAAAAAATTAATTCTTTGTTAACAGATTGGGGAAAAAATAAATACTTTATTAGATGGTTCAAGATAAATTAAATTTAATATTTCGTTGTGTCATAGAATGGTGGCGCCAAGGATGGTTACGACATGAATCTTGGCCCGGCATGGCAGAAGGGCTATACCGGCAAGGGTGTCGTTGTTTCTATTTTGGATGATGGCATCCAGACCAATCATCCTGATCTCGCGCTCAATTACGATCACCAGGCCAGCACGGATATCAACGATAATGACGACGACCCGATGCCAAGGGACAACGGTGACAACAAGCACGGTACTCGATGTGCCGGTGAAGTCGCCGCCGTTGCTTTCAACCAATACTGCGGTGTTGGAGTGGCTTATAATGCCAGTATCGGAGGTAATGTCATTTGGAGATTAAAATAATCTCTATTGATAGGGATAATAATCACACATAATTATAGATATTGATAATGGAAAGGAAAAGGAAATAATAAAATCATAAAGCTATTTCGACAAGATCATATGGAAAAGGAAGTTTACATCAAATCAATTGATAATTTTTAATTATTTCGAATAATCATTTAGAAAAGGAAGTTCATGTCGATTAATTACGTGGTAATTTTTATCATGGAAATTTAAATTGGTTATACATATATGTGATCATTGGTTATATATGTGATCATTAAAATACCCACAGTGGTCTATTAGAATGGATGTTAAAATATCCACGACATTTTGAAATTGGTGATATTTTAAAAGAACTGACTATTTTGAGGAAATGCTATTTCCTCATGGAAATGCTATTAAAATCTATAAATAAAAGTCTATTTCCACCGTTTTTGTTCGTGTTAATATTTGATTTTGTTTTTTTTAATATGTAACAGTTAATATTCTAATTTTATTTATTAATTTATTTTTAATGATGTTATAAGTAACATGATCTAAACAGAGATAAGGAATTTCTAATATAAAATTATTTAATGCGGAAAAAGCGTGTAATTTTCTATTCATAAATATAAGCAACTTATAAGATATCGATTTTCTAAAATTTAAATTTGTTGTCATGTTTGATTATATCGTTAGAGTTATATACAAGAATTAAATTATCTCTCTCTTAAATTACAGCCTGTATATCTTACAGCGAAAATTGAATGAAGTATATAAGCACATAATGTATAACGCATATATGAGAGAGATCAATATTTCCTTTTCCTTATACTCCTACGTTTGGTAAACTAGAAATTGGTGGTGCCGTTTTATGTTCTGATGGATTTTGTTGAAATTTGAAATAGGTTGTTACTTTCAGGTATGTTGGTATTTCCGATGATGAGAATGCGCTCATCTCAACTTACGTGTACAAACGTTGACGATGGATTTTCTCGAGCACAGAGATATACCAAAATCTTTTGTCCATTTAATTTTCAGAGCAACGTGAAACTTGATGGTTCTTGGATTTGATTTTACTCTTTGTATATTTTAGCTTTATTGTCTAACATCCAGATACATTGCGAGGTGTACTCGCCATTCATTTTCAATGTTAATTAAAAAAAGATGCACGAAATTGAGAATCTCTTCCGTAAAAAGATGATTAGAAATTTATGCGCGCGTTACATTAATCGCCGCTGAGAAAGATTGACGATAATTACGAGTTCGCAGTATATTCGAGCTGTCGTTAATCTTACATCTGCGAAAGCGCTTCTCATCGATGCCGGTAATCACTTAATGCGCGATTTAAGAGAGACAGGCTTTCGCATCGTTGTCTCGAAGACGGTGTTTATCTTTTCTTATGCCGACTGAGCGAATCCTCCTGGGATCGTTCCAACGCTGACTTAGCCGGCGAATCGTTCCACGGAAATAAATAGTGCAGCGACCGCTGGGAATGTCAGGTCTGGTGGTGGTCGCTTTATCGTCTCGACCCGCTGAAGAATAGGCCAGGTTTTCCGGGCGCTCGCAGCTATTCCCGACTCGATGCTATCGAGCTGTATTAATTCCGTTAACCCACTTCGAAGCGAAACGAACGTCCGTAAGCCGTCGGGGCTTACGACGAGTGGAACAGAGTGAGGCCGAAATGATAGCGTGGAACGATACAGCGTTAACCGGATATTGAATTCGAGGAATTGATGGTCGTGCAAGCGCGCTGCGCAGCGAAATTAGAAATTTCGATGCAGCATCGACAGGAAATTTTGTTAGAGCCGCGAGACACGGTGGTTTCCGCGATAATTAACTATCGTTTGCCTACGGAACACTTTTGCACAAGGATTAGTACGTGATGGAATTTCGTGATAGAAATGTAGAAATTGTCAGTTATTTTCATCCTGCAGAGATTTTAACCGGGTACGATTTGGAATCTCGATAAATTTGACTTGGATTATTAAATGAGACTAACTTAATTTGCTTGAGGTTTATTAGAATGTTTGTTCATTAAAAAAGAGATTGAAACGCCATAAACAGGATTTTAACCGAATCAACTTTAATTGTATCAGTTAACTCAATTTTAATGTAGCACACACTGAGAAAAACTTTTAATTAAAATGGTCTTTAAAAATTACCGAACCAGTTATTATAGATTCTGATTAATCAGAATTATGATTATCATGATTGGACATCTGGTTATCTCGAATAGAAATTGTTCTCAGTGCAGTAATTAAATAATAATTATACTTGTAAATGTAACGAGCAGAATAACACAAATAGAATAATTCGAATTAATCTGTGTCTCCCATCAGATGAATTTATACAAATATTTAGTTATGCAGACCTTAAGAGCTGTGGAATGCATGGACAGAAAAACAAACGAGACAAATAGAAAATTATAATAGTTAAAATCACGCGAGTATATTGAAAATATTTGTCATAAAAATTACTTACATAAAACTATTTATATAAATTATATAAACTTGATATTAAATTAAATAAATATTGGAAGGAGAAAAAGAATCAAATTAATTGCAGAATCGGAATACGTATTCTGCATTTCCTCTTTCTCTATTACTTCGAATTCTCGTTGCTCGTCTCAGCTAGCTTTAAAATCGATATTAACAATCCGCACACGACAATTCGTGAGATAAAATCACTGCTCACACAAGAAAAGGAAAGAAGAAGGACTTGTTCACGCACATATCTCCCGTGTTCTCAGGCGTGCGAATGCTCGATGGCCCGGTAAACGACGCCGTCGAGGCCAGAGCTCTGGGATTGAATCCTGATCACATCGACATATACAGCGCCTCCTGGGGTCCCGAGGACGACGGCAAGACCGTCGACGGTCCGGGCCCTCTCGCTAGGAGGGCGTTTATTTACGGAGTGACGAGCGTAAGCTACATATATCGCCTACCTTCTGCGCGTCCGCGAAGCGAGAGGATCAATTTATTTTCTGTCGCAAGAGCTTTTCCCTTGACGTTTTATTTTATTACTTCGGGAGGATTTAAAAACATCTTCTTGACGTACGTCGAAATAACAAACTTAAAGTAAAAATTATGGATTATAAATGAATATTTATGTTACTATCGTATACATCATGTTTGAACATTTGTTTGTCGAACTAATAGCCCGGATATCATCTTACAAAATATGAATTTTGCACAGAATTGTAGAGAAAAAATTTCAACTTTTGTTTAAATTGGTTTAGTTGCATGTTAAATTATTTTTTCAATTAGAAATAAATATCAGTTTGTATCAGAAAAAAATTTGTTAGAAATAACAGCGTTATAAATTGCTTTTTTCTATTAAAATTGGTTGTCCATAAGTTTTTCGCAAAGTAAATGATATTGTACAATATTAATTGAAATAACTTTCTATATACACCTTATGATTTTGTTAAGATAACTTAGTTTTTAAACAAATACTAATTGAAATGACATGAATTTAATAATATCTCTCTTTCTCTCTCTTGCACAGAATTTATTTTATATTTAATTCCATTTGTCAAAACCAAATATTTCTCTTTATTTATAAAAATTTAAAAACAAGAATATAATTATTATGTTTATATTTCGAAATTATAATTTTTATGATACATTAAAATGATATAGCTATTAAAGTTATTATCTAATTATATTGCTTAAATATTTTTGTGTTATTTCATAAAATCATACACGCATCCTGTCGCTTTGTCGGTTGTTGCTTCTTTCTTGAACATTCGCGGTATTCTTTTTTCTTCCCACGCAGGGTCGTAAGGGTAAAGGTTCGATCTTTGTATGGGCGTCTGGTAACGGAGGTCGACACACCGACTCGTGTAACTGCGACGGTTACACGAACAGCATTTTCACGCTGTCGATATCAAGCGCAACACAAGGTGGTTACAAGCCGTGGTACCTCGAGGAGTGTAGCTCGACCTTGGCATCCACGTACTCGTCGGGTACACCCGGCAACGACAAAAGCGTCGCTACCGTGGACATGGACGCCAAGTTGCGTCCTGATCACATTTGCACGGTGGAACATACCGGGACATCTGCCTCAGCGCCATTAGCTGCCGGCATCGCTGCCCTCGCCCTCGAGGCAAATCCTACGTTGACATGGCGAGACATGCAATATCTAGTGGTACTCACCTCGAGGTCCGAGCCGTTGAGCAACGAGCCCGGCTGGATACTGAACGGCGTAAAGAGAAAGGTCTCCCACAAGTTCGGCTACGGTTTGATGGACGCGGGCGCCATGATCAATCTAGCCGAACAATGGACCAATGTACCGCCCCAACATATCTGTAAGTCTGATGAAATTAATGAGGAGAGACCGATCGATCCCACATATGGGTACACCCTGAGTGCATACATGGATGTCACTGGATGCGCTGGATCCTTGAATGAAGTGCGATTCTTGGAGCATGTACAGTGTAAGGTAAGATCTCACGCCGGGAAAAATCGTCATTGTATAATAGTTTCAGAATATCTAATAATAATTACGATAAATGAGAAGAATAAATAATCTTAATTTTACCCTCAAAAATCAAGGTGATGTATGTATTATATATCAAGATTACTTATTGACTCACTCATGTAGTTTAATGAATACTAAATGTAGTAACTACTATATATATTTAATAGTTAATCATTTATCATTATCAACAATTGTAACTTAGAAATTACTGTTTTCATGACACTTAAAATCACTTAAATTTTTTATTGTGAAAAAGAATAATTAAAAGATTTCAGTGCATCATAATTTACGTTTGTTATTTGTATATTAATTTAAATCTGCTAAATTTTAATTCTCAATCGTGAAATAGGTTTCTCTAAGGTTCTTCCCTCGAGGAAATTTGAGGCTCTTATTGACCTCGCCAATGGGCACAACTTCAACGCTATTATTCGAGCGGCCGCGCGACGTTCTCAGTTCAAACTTTGACGACTGGCCCTTCCTCAGCGTACACTTCTGGGGTGAAAAGGCTGACGGTCGATGGACTCTGCAGATCATTAATGCCGGAAACCGACACGTCAATTCACCAGGCAAGTCCTTTCCAGCTATTTCTTATTTTTTCTCATGTAAATACAATTTGTATAAATTGCTTCAGATAAATAAAATATTTGTTTTTAATTGCAAAATAGAATTTTTCGTTTTTTGTATATAATATCCAATCATTTTTGTTTTCACTGAATATATTCATCTCAAATTGATATTGACATTGATAGCGTCACTATTGATTAAATGCATTGATATAACTATTATTGTTTCAAACTACAGGAATACATATACATTTGTCATTTTTATATGAAAAAAGTTTCGCGAAGTCCGAAATTTGTATCGTTTTTAACAATTAAAAGTTATTTGTGATTTACGCATTTTTCAAAGTCTTTTCAATGTACCTCGTTATATGAAGATCATCCCGCCATAACCCGGGACTCTTATTATATTGTTACAGGCATCCTGAAGAAGTGGCAGCTGATTTTTTACGGCACATCGATGAACCCGATCCGGATACGCACGCGACAATTTAATCCGGTACATCATTCTGCGTACCTTCCTTCCCATTCCGTGCATTATCCATTCACGGTAGACGATGATCCGCTACAATTGTCCGGTTATCCGGGCAACAGGGACTTCTTTTCTCCGTCTACCTTTCAGAGTTACCAAGGCCCGTACAGCGGTGCTGCGTCGAATCTACAAGCATCTGTCGCAACTCTGGATGGCTCGTCGGCGCCTATCCTGTCGAACCATCTACCCGGCGACGTCTCATCGGCATCTGCCTTCGATTCACCTTCGGCGGCGTCATCCGTGCAAGGGGACGGTTCTCTCGATACCACCAGGAGGATACTGCACGACTGCGATCCTCAGTGCGACGCGCAAGGCTGCTATGGCAAGGGCCCGACGCAATGTGTCGCTTGTAAAAATTATCGTCTCGATAAGTGAGTAAACGAACTTAAAGCTCTTTTGATTAAGACGAAAAACGATTGTCTTGTCTCTATTCAGTAAAGAGCTTTTTAAAATATATAACTTTTAACATATTTTTGTCGATTCTTAAATTTGACATTAGAATAATGTTTATGAAACATTACATGTATGTGTTTTATATTTTAATCCTGTTACGTGATTGTTAGATGCTGGCACTAACTGTATGTGTGTTCTTTATAAAATTAATAAAACTTAAAATATAATTTTGCAATGTCACGAAACTACGGATTATAACGGTAGGAGTATTTGAACATAAAACTACTTGCACTGTTTGAGAAAGTATAAATATTAATATCATTTTATAATATTGATTGAGCTATTTTTACTTTAATTAAAATCTTTTCTCTTTTATTAAACGAATATTTTTTACTATATTTATAATTTGTTTTTCACACAATAGCTCAATGAATCCAACTCATTTTATACCTCTCCATCGGCCCTTTTCATTGAAAACGCGAGGGGTCTCTTATCTCTTTTTCAGTACTTGCGTCAGTCGTTGCCCGCCAAGAAGTTTCCCTAATCAAGGCGGCGTTTGCTGGCCATGTCACGAATCCTGTGAAATTTGCGCGGGAGCAGGTCAAGACTCTTGTCTTTCATGTGCCCCCGCTCACCTTCGGGTCACCGATCTAGCTGTTTGCCTTCAGCAGTGCCCCGAGGGCTATTACGAAAGTATGTGGAAGAGAAAAGATCAATTCGTATTTTTGTATTCGTATTCAAATCTTTTTACCATAATAATTTTGTCTCCTTAAAATCAACATCGAGTAACGCGACGCGTAAATTTGGCATCTTTTCGCGTAGATACCGAGAACAGCACGTGCGTACCATGTGAAGCCAACTGCGCCAGCTGCCAGGACAGACCGGACAAGTGCACCAGCTGCGAGCATCATTTGGTAATGCATGAGAACAAATGTTACGCCGCGTGTCCGCCCTACACGTATGAGACGCAAGATTACAATTGCGCGCCGTGCCATCCTACCTGCGAGACTTGCAACGGCACGGCAGATAACCAGTGCATTGCCTGCCGATCCGGGTTGTTCGCTTTGAATGGTGAGTTAAGCGACGATTTATTAGACCGATAATTAATTTGTAAATGTGATAGTCTACAAAGTATGGATGTTTTGCAATAGCATACAGCATCTATTTTTCAGATAATTGGAAAGATATCTGACAACAGTTGCAAATCTTTTAAGTATTTTATATATCTAGAAAATTTAAACAATTACATGCATTGGAAAAAAATTAAATTTATTGAATTACATCACACACAAATGCAGTATGATTCTTAAATGAAATAAATGTTAGATTTGTTTCATTACGCATATGTGCATCAAAATTTACACGAAAAGATTTAAATTGCTGTTCGATACTCTACGTTACATCCAGTCCAAAATGTTGTAACCATAATTAGTTTCCGCTAAACGGTTTTCTACAAATGTGTCGTAGGCACGTGTCGCGCTTCATGTCCGGCGGGTTACAGCGCAGACAAAAAGCGACGTGAATGTGTAGCATGTCCACCCGGCTGTGCGACCTGCAGCACACTGAGCTGCACCAGCTGCATCGAGAGCTGGAGCCTGAACAAAAAGGGTTTGTGCGCTCCCGAGAGTCGCAGTAATTGTAATACAGGCCAATATTACGAGGAAGGTCAATGCAAGTCCTGCCATTCGTCCTGTGAAACCTGCGCCGGTTCTACGGAGGATCATTGCATATCCTGCCCGAACCCGTTACTTCTGCAGGGCAAACGTTGCGTGTCCCAATGCGATGACGCGTATTACTCTGTGGTGCAACCTTCGCGACCGGTTTGCGTCCCTTGCCTGCACACTTGCAAGAGTTGCGTGTCTCGTCTGAACTGCACAGCATGTCAAGACGGGCTACAGCTGCAAAGCGGAGAGTGCAGATCGTCCTGTGCACCAGGGTAGGATGAGTTTAGGGTTAATAGATTGGTAATAAAACAGTATCGACATATCCTTTTTCATTTTTCTTTTTTGTTTTAGTTATTACAGTGACAGAGGTCAATGTGCCAAGTGTTACTTGTCGTGTAAAACATGCTCTGGACCCAGAAGAGATCAATGCGTTACTTGTCCAAGAGGCTGGCAACTGGCGGCTGGCGAATGTCACCCTGAGTGTCCGGAAGGATTCTTTAAGTCGAACTTTGGTTGTCAGAAATGTCATCACTATTGCCGTACATGCAAGGGTGAGTTACAATTGATCAGTTGTTATCGATCAATTAAATTTGTTTTTCACTTTAACGGGAAACTATTCATTCCAGGCGAAGGTCCACTGGAATGCACTTCGTGTCCACCTCACTCGATGTTGGAAGGTGGACTATGCATGGAATGCTTAGGGGCACAATACTACGATTCTTTGACTCAGCTCTGTAAGAGCTGTCATTCTGATTGTCGCAGATGTACCGGTCCCGGAAAATTCAGCTGTGCCGCGTGCTCGCCGCCACTACACTTGGACAAATTGAACAATCAGTGTGTTCCATGCTGCACGGGCAATGAGAAGGGACCTCAAGCTGAGGAATGTTGTCTCTGTGATCCAGAAACTGGTAATTTTTACATTTACATTTTAATATTTTATTCGTATTACATATAATTAGTAAAATATATGTATATATTAACATCTATTTTTTACTTTTTATCAGCATCTATCAGATTAGTATTTATCAGAGAATGTTTTTCATCAGAAAAGATATAACTTCTTTAAATATACATTTTTTTTTATTTTAAATAATATTTTATTATTATTATTGCTAGATTATAGCTTTACCGTATATCTTCCTATAGTTATTGAAGATATATTTTTAATATTTGTAGGCGGCTGTAGGAATAGCTCGCCGGCTGGCAAAAGAAGAGTACCTGGAACAGAATTCTCAGCCAATGCCGCAGTCTCTGAGACATACAACAATTATGGCGAAACAAGTAACAACGATTCAGCTTCACTCGCCGTAACAGCAGCCACAACCATGGCAGTTGCCATCTGCTTAGCATCGATTGCGTTGTTCGCGATGATATTTGTCGCTCTTCAGGTACATATATATATATAGAATAGAAGATACAAATTTAAAAAAATATACAAAATGGTAGAATATTGAATATAAATTTATAGCTGGAAATGTAATTTATATATAATAACTTTCAAAAAATAAATTTGTAAGAACGAGAAGAAGTAAATGTCCTAATTATTCACAGGCTTGGTCCGGCAGAAGGGAGACTAATATGGGATATACGCAGCTTGCCGTGAAAGTGGAACCGTCCGAAGACGTGGACGCCGACGATTCGACAGAGCTGATGACTTAGACTTCGTTAAAGACAACGTAGCTAATGATCTCTTGTCGAAGAGTCGCAGGGAGATCGACGAATCTCGATTGTGATTGGTTCGCGAGTCAGAAGTTACGTGCTTTTGCATTAGCGAGGTCCAAGGATAGCCCTTACATGTGATGACAAAGAAAATAGGAAAATGGTGGTATATACGTAGCGGGGAGGAAAGAGTTGAAGAAGGAGGAGGAGCAAGCAAAAGAAGATTCGTCGAAAACGTGATAATAGAACTCCGTTAGAGTGTTGTATGAATGAACAAAATGACAGAGGAAAAAAGAAAGAGAAAGAGAGAGTGAAAGTAAGTGTGATTGTTGTTTACATGACCGTAGTACGGTCGCGTGAATGTGCGAATGTACAAGGAATGTGTTTTAACTAGAGATACTTTTTGCCCGTCATTGTTGTCAAGTGCGTCACCGATACCATCATCGCGCACACCAAGATACTTCCGACACGGATAAAGATCCGAAACACGGAGAAAAAGGGTGAAGGACATTATGAAGTGCCTGATTAGTGACACCCTTGTTTCCACACCCTTTCGCGTTCCCCCTCTGACGCTTTGTCCCCGAAGTAATGCCGAGCCTTCGTCGATTATCCCGTCGACTATATCATCATCGCGTGTATTCGCGAGTAAGTAGAACCTCATCCAAGCGACGGATAACATAAATACGTTTTAATCGTTGCGCGTTGCGAGAGTCGAGAGCAATCTAGTTCGTTTAATTAGCATCCTTTAACTGTCTATCGATTTTTTCCTCGCGCAACATTCTTCCTGGCGCAATCGACGATCGAGTTATCGAAAGGACAAAAGCGCGTCTCTTTCTTCACCTCTCTTCTAGAAGGCTACCATCACCCCGTTTAGTAGGGTGAAGGGACATGTACGTAAAGTGGCCTCCGTACATTAGGCTGAACCACGGACCACGTAATCGTAATCGTTAATTGTGAATTATGAATGGATATTGTTATATATTTGTATAAATGATAATAGTAACAAATGAGCGGACAAAGGGGGAGTTATCGCAAGGATCAGGAGGGGGAGGCGAAAGAAACGATATAGCGAGATGAACCAGGAGGGAGACGAAGTGAAGAACCGAAACGGAGAGAGAGGAAGAGGAGAAAGAAGATCGTCGCACGTGAGCTTCGTTCTCCCACTTTAAACCTGATTGTCTCGACTAATTGACACAATTCGCATGCCCGAAAGAACCAACGGACTCTTACTGCGATCACCCAGTTATCCGACGCGTCTGTGACATCAGTCGTCACATTCCAGTACCTCCCAAACTGATACAACACATGCCGTCGATACAAGCAATGCGTTTTATAAACTGTTTGTTGTTATTACTTGATTGTCTACTCCAATGTTTTGTTTAATATTCAATTTTCCGCGTTATTCTTACTTATTTCTTTAATTCTCGCTCGTATCCATCCTTTCCCCGTTTCGTTGGGATCGCATGAGAGGAAGGAAATCGTAAAAAAAAGAAAAAAGAAATGAATGAATGAATAAAAAAAGAAGAAGAAAGAACTATTACGCAACGATCTGCGAATCGATATTCTCGAAAGCCATCGCCCACGCCTACTCGTGTGAATATTGACTTTCTCCTTGTGATTTGATATAAAGCTATTATTGTACTTTTATGATGACCGCGATTATAAATATATACATATATATACACACGTACATAATGCATAAGTATACAAAGCGCCTCCTTAAATATCCTTCCACTTTACTTAGATTTCCTAATATTCTGTTTTCCTGTATCGTCCGGTAAGTACAGCTATAATATTGACTTTAATTACGGTGATGCACGGGAAAGGCAAACCGACCGTAGAAGTCAGGAACGAATGAGATATATCTAAACAGTAACCGAACTCTGCAGCTATTACTTAATGAAACATCAAAGATTAACTTTATGAAATTTATAACCTGATCTTTACCATATATAGAAAAAAAACGAATAATTTTTATTGTTGAACAAGTATCTACTTATTATACAAATATCTACATATTATGAGAGACGAAAAAGTAAAAAAATCTCAATAATATAAATTTCTTTGCGCGATTTAATTATGATGTTTTCTTTAATGATTGCATGAGGAAATAGCAAACTGATTGTCTTGGTTTAACAATAATTAATTTGCAGTTAATTTAAGAATATTTGTAAAGAATCGATTGATTGAAAAAGATTTTAACAAATGTTTTTGATAGAGATCTTTTTTCATATTAAATATTTTTAGAGATAATTATTCATTATAATCAAAATTATTTAAATTTTTTGCTAGAAAATTATTTTATTGACATTATCAATTTAGTTTCGAATCGGGATTCTATACATTTTGCGACGACTACATGTCGAATGCCTAGTTTCTAATTGCGAGTAACTTCCGCAGGTAACATCGACCTCGTTGGACTCTATCGGGAATAAGAATCACGAAATGGAGTTCTTAATTAGGATACGAGAACTACTAAATCGCCGTGTCACGCGATGAGAGAAAACGGCGCACGTCAGCACTGGCAACTCAGTGGAAATTACATTTGGCCGATTATCTTACTTCCCCTCTGACAACTAGAGGGTGAAGCTGTGAATGACACGAGAATTAATCGTCAGCGCTCGCTGACATTCTATTTGTACTCTTCGATTCTCTTGTGTATATTACATCCAGAAGTTGATATAATAGGCGATGAACGATGACAGCTGCGGCGGGAGGAAAAGAACAATGTAGAATTTCAATTTCGTTAAAAAGGAATATCATTCTTTTGCCGGACAACCTTCATTCATTTTGATGCTCGATCATTTTAGTAAAATCACATAAAAGTGAATGTATAAAAATATGGGGCCTTAATAGGAAGCGTTAAACATTTTTAAATAAATTATAATAAGATAAATGTGAGTCAAATAGATAATAAAAATTAAACAGCTAATAAAAACTTACACACAGATAGGTGAGAAATATTCGGCCAAAGCCAATCTTAGTGCTAAATAATATATTATTATGAATTTTTATAATTTTTAGTTCAAATAAATTGTGCGCCGATTATTTGTCGGTTTTGAAACAATATCAAAAGAGATATGATATATATTAATCATTTACTAATATATTATTTCATTCAATTCTGAAATTTGTGTATTTACATTGTATACTTTCAATTTAATACCAATTTTTCAAAATTACAATTTTTGATACAAATAAATGATATTTGCTAACTTTAATTTTTTACTTTTATCACTTTAATTGCCTGGATCTTTTTTTTTTTAGAAACGCAGCAAAAACTGTGAAATTTTATGAAATAGCCAGAACTTTTTTAAATCGCAAATATTTAGCTTTACATCTGAATTTTTAATTAAAACAGAAAAACCGCGAGAGCGTTTGAATTGATTCTCTTTCAAGTCTTTTATTCCACAATTTAATGAAGAGTTCAATGTCTGTATCCATATATAATATATGACGTTAAAAAAATATCTCTAGAATAAATTCTTTTTTAATTATTCTATTTTCTCTTTGCTCACAAAGTAAACCTATTGCAAAATCATAAAACTTCCGTATTACTTCCACGGTTACAAATATCCCGACAGGATACCCAAAGGGGACAGACGTGGTTGACGTTTCTTTTAGAAATATTACCAAAATTCACGCATAAGTGAAACAGAGATAGAGAGAACGGAAGTGGCTTTAATCAAAAGTTGACCTTTCCCGCCGCTTCCAAATTGCCTATTTCCATTGCGCCGTTTTTTCCAGCTGTTCTTGCGAAAAAGGACGAATGCAAAGCTATATGCGAACCCGACGGACCGTGTCCGAAGGCGGGAAATAAATAAGCTTTCCGGTGTACAAGTGCAAGTGTTGCAGCAAAATAAAAATGGGTAGTCGGAGGCGATTCAACGAAGAGGGGTCAAAGGTGAAAAGGTGTTTCACGTGAGGTGAGAGACGAGAATAGGCTGACCAGGGTAAAAGACCGATGTGGCGCCTCAGGCCAAAAGTTTTTCTCGATAAAGCATCGAAGAATAAACAAGGTATTTGTCAAGAGTTTTCTCCTTCCTCTTTTTAGAAAAAGAATATCCCTAAATCTAAAAATTCTTTCCAAATTCGCGAGTAAATGGTTCTAATAAGTTTGAATACGATCATCTTATTAATAGTAGTTTTCTGTACAACATAACAATAATATTACTGCAACGTTTACAAAATGTTGGAACGTTGCAATGTTACTGAAATGATCTTGGAAATAGCTGAGTAGTTTAAATGTAATGTGAAAAGCAATTGCAATAGTTAACTTTGATATTAATAATAAAAAAAGTTGAAAAACTGACAAAAATTATTAAAAAGTATATATTTATTTATAATTTATGTAAAATACTTTTTTAAACTAAACGATATTTTAGGAACTCTTACTGAATGCAAACATATCCTCTAATCACTAATGCAAAGATAATCCTATCCTCTGTAGCAGTAAAAAAAATCTCAAAATGTACATATATATTCATTCAATCTTGCGTTAGAATTCGCATTGTATCGTCACATAAATAAAACGTGTACAATATTCAACAATAAAAACGAAGCATTTATATAATTCGTTGTCACGAATAACAAAGCAACCGATACTTTTCAATGAAAGCAATCGTCAAAAAATATTTTTCCGAGAAGAAAATCGGAAATGATAATGGCACCGCGATAATGGGACGTCGCACACAGTTCAGAGAGGAACGCGGCAAGAAACTTTGCGAGAACGGAAAGTCGCGCAGAAAAGGACGACACGATGGAGCAAAGGGAATAGGATTCGTCTCGGGAGCGGGTCTTAGTCCTTTTATAGCTACTCGCAGGGAGAGAGAGAAGATCGCATTTACCGTCGGCGTCAAAGCTCCACCATACGGCGCCGTGCTTGGAACGGAAAATCGTAAAAACTCAGCCGCAAGAAACTTCATACCGCGATGTTCCCACCGAAGGGACCCGAATGTCGTCCCTTCGTCTAATACCGTCCCCCGTAATTCCGATTTTTGCGTGTAACCAGGCGGAAGCGCACAAATCTTGCTCCTCCGGTCTGTGTGTCATAAAAGAGAGATTATTTCAGTTCCCTTAAATGATAGAAATTGAAAAAAACGACTAATTTTTCTTACGTTTGAATGATTGGGTACGTTATAGCTTTACATTAGCTTTTTGTCATTAAAAAGGAAAGTAACGTTATTTTATTGTTGCTGAAAAAGAAGCATTAAAATTAAATAAATTTTAAATAAGAAACGGAATATAAATAGAGTTGTATAGATATTATAAAATATATTTACTTAAATTAGACACAATTAAGACAGTAATTGATGTAAATGTTCTATATCCAATGAAAAATAAATTAAAAAAGAGTTACTAAAAAATAATATTTATTTTCATATTTTAATATTTTATTAGTGCTTTCTTTTATTATTGTCCTTTTCAAGAAAATACGATAAATTAAATGTACTTTTTATACTAAAAAAAAAAGCCAAAGTTGTGTAATTAAATCAGAATATAAATAAAAACGATCCATAAATGAAATTATCTTTTGCATTTATTTTTATAAGAGATATGAGAATACTTTATTTTAGCATCGCCGTCGTTTCTTTTTTAAATACAGTCGCGCAATTTCTAGCATTATTGTTTGTTTTTAAAATTACCATAAAATATCATTGTATCCCTTTTCCCTCGCTCGTTTCCAAAACTCATTTCGCTCAACGTTTTTTGTTATCCCCCAAGCTCTTCGTATGTTCGATCGCACCGTTCGTTATTTCGCCGTAATTCGATCGGCTATAGTTCTTCGTTACTATGGGAACGACTCGCTCCCGTGTATAGCCCTCTTCTAGTACACAGATAAATCATAAAACGACCGTCTGTCGTTTCCGGCAGGATGGACGAGAATCGACTTCCCCGGGTCCAGGTGCCATAAACCTGCCTCCCACCCCGAAATAACGTCTCGTCCCGAACTCGTTACCGTTGCACGGAAGAGCTGAGCCCTCGTTGGCTGTCGGCGTTCATCCGTAGCCATTTCCGAGCCCCCGTTGACGTACGCACACACGTTTCGGGTAACGCCAATCGAGATAACGGGATAACGCCGTAAATTCGCCGGCGATAATTCGCGGCGGGAGGAGGGAGGTTGGGAGAAACTCGCGTCTACTTTTATCAGTGGCCCCGATGCGCAACGGCGGCGCATCGTAAGCGGATATCGTAAATTCGCAGTCGGCGAATATGCTCCCCGCGTATGTGTCACAGTGGTTATCAGTAGTGTGGCTGTTACGAACAATTTAACCCTAGACGATACCTTCCCGATACAGAACCGTTTATCCACATGATGGTTTAATACGTGCTCCGTTATTTCTTTTTCCCTCTTTTCTAATTATTTAAAGCTCACGAATATGCCATGTTCTTGTCTTGAAAAATATCTCTTAATTTTTACCGTTGTTATTTTTCACCGTATAAGATATTCCTGAGATTTTCTTGAACGTATAGATTTCTGTCTACAGCACTCAGAAAGAAAAATATGAAATCAGAGAAAATTAAAATATTAATTTTAACAGAGAGCCAAGAGCTGATCTGTAATGTAACATGAACTGAAGATCATTATTTCTCTAATTGTCAAAAAGATACATTTTTTAAAATTAAACACTGGTCTGACATTAAATCAGTTTCAATTAAATAGTGAACCGATAATAAATCAAATAATATTTTGTTACATTTTATTCATGAAATTTATTAAATTTTTCAAAGTTTGTAAAACAATGTACAGTATAATTAAAAGAATGAGAAAGGGAAATCGGACATAAAATGTTTATATTTTGTATTATCCTTGATACACATGTACATAAATAACTTTTTTTAGCAATTTACTTTTTTAAGAATTCATTAAACACATCAATTTCATGAATAATTCTATATTTTATATATGTACATAAATAAATATATATAAAATTTTTTATGTACCTAATGTAAAATTTATCTTATCAGCAAAGACAATTGCAAAACAGTTTATAAAAATATAAATTATTAATTTGGATTAAAGCATTCAGTTAAAACATAACATTTCGATGATAAATTCTACAATGAAATGATGAGAAACTATTATTCAGACTTATTACTTTAGTACATTTATGTTTAACGATCTTCGTTTTCTCGTAAATAGTCAACTTTCCGTTTCACACGAGAACAAGCCGAGTAACGGAATCAAAGAAAAGTCAAAGGAAGAAACAGTTATTATTGAGCTCGAGTTCGGTCTGATCAAAGCGCAAAAGAGATGAGGATATTTTCGTTTGCAACGGAAAAGCTCGACGTTCTTACCATCGCATGTTCCCTCACTTTGCAGGGAGGATACTGTACTTCGACCATTTCCTGTGATTACAATTTTCCTCTTTTCGTTACAGACGTCCCACCGGATGGTTACGCCATGTCCGACTGAACATTTCAGACGATCTCCGCTTTGAAATCACCTCTAACTGGACAGCGATTTTCCTCTCTTACAATTCAGCTGGCTTGCCGGAATAATAACCAGCGACGAAGGACCTTTTTGGAAAATATGCTCGAACTATCCATTGAAAGGATTCGTATGAAGAGGGGTAATTCATGTTCTATTAAGTTAACATAATACAATAAAATAAAACATATAAATTTAGTACTCTTGTCGCTAATTTATTTTGCTTTACTTGCGATTTTATTATTTTACTCGATTTGTGTATGTGGGTAAAAATAGTGACTCTGTTAACTTAAGTTAGAGTTAGCACAGCTACTGAAAAAATTAGAACAAAAAATTTTTTGTATTATTGTTAATCAGTTGCTTCATTGACAAGTTGGTTAAACAATTTTTAATTTTAAAAAATAATCCCCCAACTATCTCTCTCTTGTCCTAATAAAATACTATACATGATATATATTAATTTCATTAAATATCCATGGAGAGAGAGATTATATATTTTTATTTTATTATAATAATATAATATTTTGATTAAATCCGATTTTGTTGTTTCATCATTAATTTCTGAAAACAATCCTCAGCTACTCCACATCAGCACACATTTTAGATTTGCAAATTCAACGAAAATTTTCAGTAAGTATCTCAAGCATGGTTGCTAATCTCTCCTGTTTTCCAAGCCTTCTGACCGAATCTCCAGCTCTCTGGCACACAGTAAAAATCTCTGACTATAACCATTCAAAAGCAGAGTGTGAAGATTACTTTTTTTTTTACTAAAATGCAGAATGTAAATTAATTATTAGAAAAACTATTCATGTGATCCATTAAGTTTGGAGAAAATTGGGATTGTTATTGATTGTGAAATATATAAATGTTTTTTTAAGTTTTGTGTCGTTTAAAACATTTATGTGCTGAAAGAATAATAAATAAGTAATAAATGTAGAAAATGTTTTTTATTCACATAAATACTATTTCAAGGGTCTTATATTTAAAGCTCTGGGTAAATATTTTGAAAAATAAATAGATATAAAAAAAGTTTTCATATAAATTTGTATAACTTAAAATCATATGTAAATAATAGTAAAATTATATTTTTAAACAGTTTTGTAACTTTTCTAGAATTAAAAGATATCGTATTTAATATCTCATCCCCTTACTTTAAAAGTGATACAACTAGAAAGATATAATTTGCAAGTTATTACCATAAATTAATTAGGTAAAGATTATTCTATAATCATCAAAAGTAAACTAATTTAACTTTACAGTTACAGTTTATAGGATTTCCATCCGCTAAATAAAATAATTATGTCGCTCTTAAAGTTTCAAAGAGACCATAATATCCTCTAGATAGACTCAAGAGTGACATATTTTGATTTGTGTAGTTTTTATAAATATTATACATAATGAAAATTCTTTTATAGAGAATATTTAAAGTGAAAACAGTTTTGATGATGGAAGTTTAAAGAAGGAATTGTTTTATTTTGATTTGTTATTTCTGTAGTTAGATCGAGATAAATATATATTAACTAGTTGAAGGGTGATATTTTAAATTATGTTTATTATTTTATAAATTATACATAGTTTTCCCTTTTTCTCAAAAACTTAATTTTTAGTTAATTGTGTTACTTTTGAAATAAGAAAACGATATCGTGAGTCAATTCGTAATCTGTCGCTTACCCAAAAATACTTCGTATGTTTCGTTTCATTGATATAAAAATTGAAATTTTAAAACCGATGCTCGAACCTCGTGTTTTGTCTACGTCGCGACTATTCATTTTTTTCTCGAAAAATGTACTCGTATGGATTTCCATCGGATTGCCTATACTCTACGCGATCGCACGTCTTTCCAGCCTTCGAAAACGGGTATCGCATACGATCGAATGTCAGAAGTGTCGAATTGAACAACGGGTGATGTGTGCCCATTATTCTATGCGAAGTTTGAAAAATGATGACTATGAACAACGTCACAAGTGAAAACACGGAATATATAGTAGGTATCTCTAGATGCGTCCCGTTTGGCGTATCAGCTTTAGCATCTGTCGCGCTTGCCAAAATGTATGCACTTCATGTATTTAAAGGGTTATTATGTTTTTTTAAAAGAACATATTCTCTTTTTAAGATCGTATAAAAACTTCCGGTCATTAATTAACATTTTATATTAAAAAATATATAATAATAAGAATTGTATGTTAATATAAATTATATTGTAGAAATTTTATTTTATTAAATACGTACATTTAACAAATGAAAAATTATACACCTCCTTTTTCCGCCTTAGATCATTATTAATATATAAAGTGTATTGAGGTGACCAGCGAGTCTCATTCCTTCGAATAGCTTATGCTTCTCAATTGCATGTTTTTCTATCGGGAAAATCAAACGACAGGTGATTGTCTCACATGTTTATTAGCACAATCGTCTTATAAAATTTGATAATGAGATATTTTAATTTTTGATTGCGTTCGAAGAATGTGCTATCAAGTATCAAGCCTAGTTTTATATTCTATCCTTGTTTTCGAACCCGTTTTATGTAAGCGATAAGGATACAATAGTTGATATGAGCTAGTGATTTCGATATTTAGACTTCGAAGTTTCGAATATTCCAAGCTGAGACATTAAAATTTTCGAAGATCGATCAAGTTTCTAAGCTTCGATTCTTCGATACTTTAATCGCAGCTTCGAAGAATCAAAATTATATACAATTAATTTAATATAACTAGTAGTAACGGATATGTTTTTATTAATATATATATATTACGAATATGTATATTTTAATTTTCTTTTATTTACGCAAATATATTTTTCAAAGCTTTTAAATTAACTTTAGAACTTTGAAAGCGTCTTAAACTTCGAAAGTTCAGAATTAACTTTCAACATTCTTTCGAAGTTTCGAATTTTCCAAGTTGTCAAAAATAATAACACTAATTCCGATAGCGCAGTTTTCGAACGCAGCATGTATTTCCTAATTCGTTCGCTGTACGATTTATGCATGCCGCTCGAGTAATAGTGGTAGTGCAAGTGCATTATAGAGAGTGCGTTTCGCTTTACGCGTGATATACCATACACATGATGTTTAACACTCGTTGAACAAGAATAAAATAACACATCATGCGTAAAACGGAATGCATCCAGGCTGTGTTCCAAAATTCATTTTCAACCTATGAAAACCTATATAATGTACGTAACGTAAACTATAGACCTTCAGTGCTGGCGGCTACCAGTGAATTTTGGAACACAGCCAGAAAATTGTTCAAGTGAAAGAAATAGTTCGAGTGTGTGAAGTAAGTGAAGAAGGATATAGGACTGACTAAGAGTATCTATTATAAAGGAAAGAGAGGGAAGGAAAAAGAGTATCCAAAAGCAGAGAAGAATAAGGCGATGATGACGTATCCGCCAATGAGTGAGTTACTTGTTGCATTCCGCTTAGTTTTCGCTTAATTTTCTTGATAATTACAAACAACACGACATAAGCGTACACATGAAAATTATAAGGTATGATTAAGTCGACTTAAGTATTGTTATGTTAGTATTTAGATAAAATCTTTCACTTTTGTTTGTCAAGAGTTGCTAGGATTGCTGTTTTGAATTAGCCAATTGCAGCTTGCAGTCTACGCCGTAAAAACTCTCTCTATCTCGGGTATATTCACAGAAATGCCTTAACGAAGCGACGTTGTGTATGTGCGAATTGCCTGTCTTATCAAAGTGCCAGGCTAACGAAGAAGAGCCGAGAACGCATGCGATAATACGGCCGTTTAAATTCGGCACGGCACCAAGCTGCAATTTTTTTTCACGTCACGGAGAAAATCCTCCTTACGTAAGCAAGCAACAGACATCGCTCTCGAGAAGTATATACGCGAGATAGTCTACCGCGTGTTTCTCTTACAGAGCTCTTGTAATATACATCAGACTGCTAAGCTGTTGAAGTATGAATAAGGCTGGATTAACATGAAATGCAGCAAACGGCTTCTATAAAATAGTCAAATATGTATGAAGTTGAATTTCGTTTTCTCGAACAAAAAGAGATTTTAAGGAATGTTATACATGTATCTATAAATTAATTATGCATATATCTCTATATGTGATATTATTTAATACTTTATATAAATTTAATCTACAATATTACAAAAATAAAAGAAACATAAATTGTATATTGTAATATTTTATATATATACCTATATATATACATAATTTTATAAATATGCATAATCAATTGTTACATAATTTCTTATTTGAATATTTATTGGAGGTATAAAGTTGAAATGAAAGCGTGATATAATTTTTCGTAATTTTAGAATATGGTTTCTCGGAATATGGTAATTCTACTTGCAAATTTATGTACGTGTCTGTGCAAAGTCTGACCGTAACTACTGTCGGCTGCCACTATGACTGTCATATGAGAAATCATGTTTTCGTATGAATTTTTGGACAGGAAGGATTATATCTATTATTATATTTATATATTATATTTATTGTAATAACAAAGATATATCTATTATATTTTTTACCTTAGTCATTAAATATTTGAAAAATTTTAATCATTCTTTTTATAAAACTTTTATAAAATTTTATTGAATCAAGTTTATCATAAATCTTAAACATTTAGTATATTTAAATATAAAGAAATATATTTTACAATTTTTCTATATAATTGCTATATAATTTCTGTATAATTTTTAAATCTTTGATAATGCATATAATCTGTTTGGAAATAACGTTAATGGCTTTATTTATTAAATTGATTAAAATTTATTATCGATACGAATAAAGGTTTATTATTGATTTAATTAGACTTGATGTGATAGATTGTCTCTTAAATTTTTTATCCGCATAAATTCCACGTCGACAATGATTTATTAATCAATTAACAAATATTACTCCACGAATCGAAGGAACAAATCAAATTGCAAATTATATTTGTAATATTCACGCTATGTGTATGTAGTATCATTTTAATATATTATAAAAGATATTATTTTAATCCATTTCCAATAGAAACCGAAGTCGCTGCTACTTTTTTAATTTTTAACATTTAGTAATATTCCAAATTGAATAAAAAATAATTCTTAATTAACTAAATACAGATTCAATCTTTTTATTGTCAAGTTTAAAAATTAATTTAAAATTGTATCTTGAGTTTTCTCTTTTTTACAATTAAAAAACTAATTTGATATTGCCACTTTGTACGATTTTTCGATTTCGAGAAGACATGCATTAATGTACGTTATCGGAACGAACGATCGGAGAACTTTGTTTCTCGGTAAACGCGCGGTGCGCTGTAATTGTATGCCGGTTAAATGAGCTTTCGGCGCTTTCAGTGATTTAAACAGCGAGTTGTTTCGCAACTGCGACTGTGCTTTCTCGAATAGGCGAGCTCTTACAGCAAGATCGAACGACTCGCAAATGGCATTACGCCGGTTTCCGGTGAAATCGGAAGTGCCATTTCGCTCGAACGTTCGTTAATAAGTTTTTGCGACCATTCAACAGACAATTATCTCGTTTCGAGTCTATTTCATCCACATACACTTCTCATTCTCACACCGAAAGGTGAGGATATTAAGCGAGGACGTTGCCATTGACACAGAAATTACCATATTCATATATTAACGTCTGCTCACTTGATTTAATACCTTTGAAAGATACAAGAGATCTGATTTTACTTTTCATTAATTTATTAATTTAATCTGTATACGCTGCAATATTAATAGTTAAAA